GCAGCGCCACACAGAGCATCGCCTCCCCATCCATTCGTGTTGGCCCTATGTACAAGACACACCGTGTACGCAAATCGGCGTAATATTAGCGCAGCGGTATGTCTTATAAATGTACCGTGTCTGCATGGCGATGCACTATTTTGGCAGCATTCATTCCACCTCGCTTGGTAGTGAACGAGGCTGAAGTCCTCTGAACAGCATGTGTAGAGAAATATTAAAACCTCAAATAAAAATGGTTTAGGGATTTTCACGGCTGGAATTTAAAGAAAATCTGATGTTTGTGGCCGGAGCAGGAAAAACAGAGACTAACTTCCGGTCTAAGTCCTGGACAGCTGGGGACATTCCACAAAGAGCTCTGCTGAAACAGCGATAGTAAACAACCCCGACTCTGGTGTTTCTGCGTTAGCGTTATAGCAGAACAACGTGCCATCAGTCAGATGTAGCTTCTGAAGCCTCTGCTAGTCGGTCACATTTGTTTTTTCTCTGGGATACGGCGACCAGAACGGATATCAGATTACCAAAGATGTTCAACCGAACTCCAACCCCGCTAGCTAGATATCACTACCGGAGGTGCAGGCATGTTTTAGACCGTTTGACTCAGAAGACCTGCGATCTGATTCGGACATCGAGGAGGATTCTGTTCATCTTCAGAACCAAAATCGGTTCAGTTTGTTAACTTTTTAAAAAAATATTTCATCTCTGTTCTCCACCAGGAGCTCTCAGCTGACTCCAGGTCTTAGCTCCATCATCTGTCTCAATATAATTCAGTAATCTACAGATAAATGAATAATGTGCTGCCAGTTTTACCGCTGTGTGTATATGTTGATTAAACTCTGGTAATATTTAACCAATAATTTACCAGAATAACTCTTCCAGATGCTGGAGTAACTCCTTAGTTTGACTCGTTGTTTGCACTAATCCAGGATGACATGGAGGCTCTACTGGTCCCTGGAACTATTGTTGAAATATAGAGATCATCTTTTAGATTATATGATAAATGATAAATGACCTGCGCTTGTATAGCACCTTTCAGAGTCAGAGGACTCCAAAGCACTTTACACTACAGTGTATCATTCATCCATTCACCCACTATAGGCATGCTCGGCTGCTCTACAACAGCACAGGACGGTGGTTCTGGTTCTGTCTTGACCTGAGCTGAGACTCCACCCTGCCGGTCATTTGCGTGTGTCTTCACGGGCGCTGTACCTCTCCTATTGTTTGTTTTGGGAGGGGCTCCAGCGCTTTTCAGGATATTCGGTGCATAAAGAGGGAAACACATCATCATGTAGCAATTTCAAATATCCAGTGGCCTTGAGGTTTCCATTGACAAAGAATGGCCCCACTATCTTTGTACCCTTATACCACACCATACCATCACTTTTTTGTTCCAACAGTCTTGGAGGGATATATCCAATGTGGGTTAGTGTCAGACCAACAGCGGTGGTTTTGTTTGTTAACTTCACCATTCACGTAAAAGTTTGCCTCATCACTGAACAAAATCTTCTGCATGAACTGAGAGTTAGGGTTCCAATTTTTGTTCTGTGCGCCAATCTGGGTCATCCTCGTTGAGGTGCTACAGGAGCTGGAGTTTGTAAGACTGCCATTTGTGAGTAGCTAATATCCGCTGAAGGGATGTTGGACTAATGCCACTCTCCAGTGACATGCAGCGAGTGCTACGCTGTGGGCTCTTGCTGAATGAAGCTAGGACAGCCACTGATGTTTCTTCATTAGTGACAGTTTTCATACATCCACAAATCCAACATTTAACCAGTTTTACGAAACTTAGCAAGCAGTTTGCCAACTGTAGCATGGGAGACGGGTGGTCTCGCAGGGTGTCTTTCATTGAAATCTGCTGCAATGACCCGGTTACTGCGTTCACCAGATATCAACACAATTTCGATCCGCTCCTCGCGTGTTAACCTCTTAGACATGTCAATGTCTGTAAACAAAGAGATACTTGCAAATAACTCATGAAAGAATAAAGTTGCGTTCAAACTAAGCACACCATTGCTTTTCTTGTGAAATTCACAATAAGTTTGATGTGTCACATGACCCTCTTCCTATTGAAAAAACAAAAGTTGGACCCAAGATGGCCGACTTCAAAATGGCCACCATGGTCACCAGCCATCTTGAAGTTTGCCCCCTCACATATATTAATGTGCCACAAACAGGACGTTAATATCACCAACCACTCCCATGTTAAGGTGGATCCATAGAAACGGCCCACCCTGTACACTAAAATCCAGCTTATACACAACACTTATAGTCCGTATGATGTACAGATCGTTTAGTTTCATTATCATGCTTCTTTTTTATATTTATTTTGTGATTCCTATCTTCTTCTTCCTCTGAGACTGGTGGGGTGGCGCCCTAGCGCCCCCTCTAGACGAGCCACCACTGGTTAGGGTAATGAACTCAGGTCAACTCTCAGAAGAGATTAAAATGAAGCAAGTTTTTAAAAATAGATTATGTCATTCGTGTTGAAGCAGGTGGAGCGGATTGCCCAGTAATCCGAAGGTTGTAGGTTCAATCCCGGCTCTGACTGGAGAATGCTGCTGTTGTGTCTTTGGGCAAGACACTTGACACACCCTGCCTGTTGCTGGTGGTCGGAGTAACCGGTGTCAGCTGTGTTTACCAGCCTCACCTCTGTCAGGGCGCCTCAGGGCAGCTGTGGCTACAATGTAGCTCATCCCCACCAGCATGTTGTGTGTGAATGGGCCAGTGACTGATTAATGACGAGCACCTTGGGGGGTTCTAGGACTCCAGAAGACACTACTTTTTCAGTCAGACAGGAACTTTTCTGTAAATATTGGGCAGAGTTGTTCGTCTCCAGCGAAACTTAGTTGTGGTGTCCCTCAAGGTTCAGTTTTGGGCCCGCTTTTGTTCTCACTGTATATGTTGCCCCTTGGCGCCATCTTTCATAAGCATGGCATCTCATACCACTTCTTTGCGGACGACGTGCAGATATATGTCCCACTACATTCTCGAAGGCCATCGTTTGATAAATTACTGAATTGTCTAAAAGACGTTAAAAACGGGCTACAAATGAACCTTCTCACTTTAAATGACAAAAAAACTGAAATTGTCGTTTTTGGGGACCCTGGTCTGTTGCACGGGGTAAACAGTGTTTTTGGCCCTTTAGAATCCTTTTGATGTCTCAGGCAAGAAATCTGGGTTTTTCCATTGATGGCCATTTTAAGCTTGATAAACAGATAAGTTCTGTGGTCCAGAGCGTGTTCTTTAATTCGTGTGTTCTTAGTAAAGTCAAGCCCTATTTAACAATTAAAGACTTTGAAAAGGTTATACACTTGCTAATCGTGTCAAGACTCGACTACTGCAACTCTTGATATCATGGACTGGAGCAGTCGTCAATTCACCGCTTGCAGGTGGCTCAGAATGCAGCAGCTTGCTTGCTGACAGGTAGGAGACGCAGGGATCACCTAACTCCGGTTTTAAAAGCTCTTCACTGGCTCCCCATCACTTACAGGATTCAATTTAAAATGCTGCTGCTCTGTTTTAAGGCACTACACAATTTGGCCCCTCCTTATCTGTCGGAACTCTTAAACACTCATGTCCCCAAAAGAAACTTGCGATCATCCTCTTTACATATTTTATCTGTTCCCCAGAGCTTTTTCTGTGGCCACTCCCAAGCTCTGAAACAGCCTTCCCCTACAGATTAGGTCTGCTAACAGCCTTTCTGCCTTTAAGTCTCTTTTAAAAACCTACATTTTTACCCTTGCTTTTAACTGATTTTATCGTTAATTTGTTTTACCTAGGGTCAACTGGATGTTTCTGAGTGTTTTATCATTTTATTTTTAATGCTTGTCTGTGTACATTACTTTGTGCAATCTCTGATTGTTGGATACAGGGTATCCGCGGGTCCTTAAAAAGTCTTAAAAATTCTTAAATTTGGCTCCCTTAAACCAGCAGATACCCTGTGGATATGTGCTATATAAATAAACTTGACATTGACATTGACTATATCCAATACAGGCCATTTGAATTTGAAACCATCTTGTCTTCCACCTCTGGTGTTTGCTTTGGTATCAGTCCTAGAAGACCCAGACAGTGACTTCCTGCATCACTTGAGGAGGACGAGAGCAGAACCACGGCCCGGTTTCCTGTCAGCTGCAAGTTGCTTTCTCTGCATTGGTGTTTCCTGCCTAAACCACATTTCAGACTCTTGTTGCACTTTTATTCCTGCAGCTTAGAACCCCAGTAGATGAAATGAGGTAAAGACCCAGAGACCTGATGGAGAACAGATCAACAACCTTGACTCTCACGGTGACAGCTGCTGCTGTAATGTGGATCTGAGCAGAGGCTACACAGGTGGCATGTTTGTGATGCCGCTGCAAATGGAATCCTTGTGAAGTTAGTCTGAACTCAACATGTAATCTGTGGAGACGGGGTGGGTGATGGAAGGAGGGGGCTTGAGTGGCGATGCAGCCTGAGCAGAAGCTTATTTCCGAGGGAGACCATTGAGGGGAGAGTTACAGTAGTCGGTGCAGGAGGTAACAAGTGTATGAACCAGAGTGGATGCAGCATGAGGAGACGGGGAGGAGTGTAGACGGTTAATGTTGCAAAGATGGAAATATGCAGATCACACACACACTCCTGTGGAGAAACATGGCGTTTTCATAATTTTATATGTAGTTTTTACAGCAAAAGATGAGATTTAATTAATGTGAATATAAACAAATACGTTTAATTCAAAGGTAAATACGCAACAGTACTGTACACGACCACAGACAGTTATTTACCTACTCATTTAGAAAGCAGCAGCAGGATCAGCACTGTTTCTGACGGGCGTCAATGTTAGACCTTCGTTTAACAGCAGAGGAGTTGATTTAGGGTAACTTACTCTTTAACAACGCCGGTCTCTCTGATGTGGGAAATGTTTACTACTCCTGCAGTCATGACTACATTTTGGTTCCACACAGGTGATAGACCATAGAGTTCATGTCCAGATGAAGTGAAACCAACTCTGTCTTGTTCTTCAGGTCAAGTCAGTAGATGTAGAGGTCAGCATGGTGACCCTGTCTGATGTGAAAGCCTGGACCTGGTACTGCATCAGCGTCCAGTCACGGGATGACTTCTACAACAAGAGCAGCAGCTTCACCTCCCCGCAGTGTGTGCAGACCGAAGGTAAAAAGACGAGGTTAGGTTAGATTAGATTAAAGTAGATTAGGTTAGGTTGGATACTGGGGTGAAGAGAGGGGCGGAGCTGTCAACTGACCACTACTTGGTGGTGAGTTGGCTCCGATGGTGGGGGAGGATGACGGTCAGACCTGGTAGGCCCAAATGTATTGTGAGGGTCTGCTGGGAACATCTGGCAGAGTCTCCTGTCAGAAAGAGCTTCAATTCCCACCTCCGACAGAACTTCCTAAACGTTCCACAGGAGGCAGGTGACATTGAGTCCTAATGGGCCATGTTCCATGCCTCCATTGTCGAGGCGGCTGACCAGATCTGTGGTCACGAGGTTGTCTTTGCTTGTTGTGGTGGCAACCCCCAGGCCCGCTAGTGGACACCGGCGGTTAGAGATGCTGTCAAGCTGAAGAAAGAGTCCTATCAGGTCTTTTTGGCCTGTGGGTCTTCAGAGGCAGCTGATGAGTACTGGCAGGCCAAGCGGAATGCGGCTCGGGTGGTCGCGGACGCAAAAGCCCAGATGTTGGAGGAGTTTGATGCCCATGGAGAAAGACTTCCACTTTGAGGAGATTCTGGTCCACCATCCGGCGCCTCAGGAGTGGAAAGCAGTGTGCTACCAACACTGTTTATAGTAGGGATGGTGTGCTGCTGACCTCAACTCAGGCTGTTGTGGATCAGTGGGCAGAATACTTCGAAGACCTCGTCAATCTCACCGTCACATGTTCCAGTGAGGAAGCAGAGTCTGGGGATTTTTGGTTGGACTCTCCAGTCTCTGATTCTGGTCAAAAAGCTCCTCGTTGGCAAGGCTCCAGGGGTGGATGAGATCCGCCCAGAGTTCCTTAAGGCTCTGGATGTCGTAGGGCTGTGTTGGCTGACGCAGCTCTGCAGTATCACGTGGACATCAGGGGCAGTTCCACTGGATTGGCAGACCTGGGTGGTGGTCCCTCTATTTAAAAATGGGGGCCGCAGAGTGTGTTCCAACTACAGGGGGATCACGCTCCTGAGCCTCCCTGGTAAGATCTGTCCAGGGGTTCTGGAGAGAAATGTCTGTCGGAATGTTGAACCTCGGATTCAGGAGGAACAATGTGGTTTTTGTCCTGGCTGTGGAACACTGGATCAGCTCTATACCCTTAGGGGGGTCCTGGAGGGTGTGTGGGAGTTTGCCCAACCAATCTACATGTGTTTGGTGGATTTGGAGAAGGTGTTCAACCGCGTCCCTCGAGGGGCTCTGTGGGGGGTACTCCGGGAGTATGGGGTACCAGGCCCTCTGATATGGGCTGTTAGGTACCTGTATGACCGGTGTCAGAGCTTGGTCTGCATTGCCGGCAGCAAGTCGGGCTCGTTCCCAGTGAGAGTTGGACTCCGCCAAGGCTGCCCTTTGTCACCGATTCTGTTTATAACCTTTATGGACAGGATTTCTAGGCACAGCCAAGGTGTTGAGGGCATCCGTTTTGGTGGCCTGAGGATCAGGTCTCTGCTTTTTGCAGATGATGTGGTCCTGTTGGCTTCATCAGAACGTGATCTTCAGCTTTCTCTGTAACGGTTTGCAGCCGAGTGGGAAGCAGTTGGGGTGAGAATCAGCTCCTCTAAATCTGAGACCACGGTCTTGATTCAGAAAAGGGTAGAATGCCTTTTCCAGGTCAGGGATGAGGTCCTGCCCCAAGTGGAGGAGTTTAAGTACCTCGGGGTCTTGTTCACGAGTGAGGGAAAACTGGAGCGTGAGATCGATAGGCGGATTGGTGCTGCATCTGCAGTGATGCGGGCGTTGTACCGGTCTGTCGTGGTGAAGAGAGAGCTGAGCCAGAAGGCAAAGCTCTCGATTTACCGGTCGATCTACGTTCCTACCCTCACCTATGGTCATGAGCTTTGGGTAGGGACCGAAGGAACGAGATTGCGGATACAAGCGGCTGAAATTAGGTTTTTTCTGCAGGGTGTCTGGGCTCTCCCTTAGAGATAGGGTGAGAAGCTCAGTCAGACCCGCTGATCCTCCACATCAAGAGGAACCAGTTAAGGTGGCTCGGGCATCTGATTAGGATGCCTCCTGGACGCATCCCTGGTGAGCTTTTCTGGGCACGTCCAACCGGGAGACCTAAAGAGAGACCCAGGACACTTCAGAGGGACTGTGTCTCTCGGCTGACCAGGGAACACCTTGGGACTCCCCAAGAGGAGCTGGCCCAAGTGGCTGGGGAGAGGGAAGTCTGGGTCTCTCGACTTAGGCTGCTGCCCCCAGGACCCGACTCTGGATAAGTGGAAGAAAATGGATGGATGGGTTAGATAAAATGAGATTAGGTTAGATACAATTAAATTTGGTTAGGTTAGGTTATATTAGGTTAGGCTAGATAAAATTAGACTGGGTTTGGTTCGGTTTGATTAGATTAGATTAGAAAAGAAAACAAGGTCAGAATTTTTAGATGAAATGACTCCAAATCTGAAAGTCAATAATAAACCTTTTTTTGATGATCTTTGATGTTTGGACACCAGTTTCATGCTTTATTTATCCAGTGAAAATGTTCGAGCTCAGAGGTCAGCTGGGATTAGGTTTTAAAGTGAGTGGGTTCAGGTGGGACCTAACCAGTCCTGGTCCTCCAACAGGTTCCGTTCCTTGGTGGCAGATCGTCCTGTATTTCCTGGGTTCTCTGTTAATCGTCGTCGTGGTAGTGCTGCTGTTAGTTTTTGGTTCCCACCAGTGTTACCACTTGTGTAAGAGCACCTTGTCCCCCCGCGACCAGCTGCCGTCACACATCAAACAGGTATGGATCATCACATGGTCTCCTTTAGATGATGTGTTGGTCCACCTGATCGTTCCTCTTCCTCACTTCTTTCCAGCATTTATTCGACTCTCTGGGCTCTGACCTACCTCGCCTTGTCCTCTCAGACTCCAAGTCAGAGCTGCTGTGTGATCGGGTGACTGTGTGTCCACAGAGCTCCGTCCTGGAAATCCAGAACCCTTCAGGTGTGACTTCAGCAGCCCCTCCTGCAGGCCAGGAGGAGGGTAGCAGGTCAGTTGTAATGTTTTGGTCTGAAGGCGGCTTTCTTAAAGGGATATTCCATCCACACGTGTAAATTAGACTGTTGCCATACTTCCCAGAGTTAGATACGTAGGAAAAAAGCATTTTGTAACCAGCAAAGTCATGCTCCTAATCTGGTAGTGTTCTGTTAGCTGTAGCTTAGCGTAAAGCAGTGTAAGTGCATATTAACAGCTAGCATCTAGAGGGGTTAGACTTAAAATGCCTCAATAATGGCCTTAATTCCTCTTGGTGACCTCAATAATCATTTTGACTGCAAAGGAAAATAATAGTAAACATGAAGGAAACACAGGAGCTGATTAAGACTTGGGACTACTTATAGCCTCTTTTAGAAAGCAGTGACACCAGGTTGCCGCAACGGTGTGGTGGCACCAGAGAGCCTCAGGTCGCTTCTGAGCGCACAGACCGGGATGGTAATTTTGAGCAATCGTGTCCTTTTGACAAAAAATGAGGTGATGGCGGTATAAATGGGGGTCTCTGCGCTGCCGCGGACTTCCGTTTATCGTAGACACAACTTGCCTTTTATTGCGATCGAAGCCGCGCTCATTACGTTTTTTTAACTAGCAGCTCCTAAAGGTGTCTGTCCCTCACAGTCCCTGTGCAGTCTCTGGTGATCTGACCTCCAGCTCTAATGGAGAAAGCTCTAGGAGCGCTGTATTACTCCAGTTTGCCATCTCAGCTGGTTTGGATTACAAAAGCTAAACATTTTAAATATATTTCCCTTCCGGTGCTCGGCAGTAACTCCCCATGTGATCATGACCCCTCCCTCTGTTGCACCAAGACGTTAAACACATTCACAAGTCCGGCGTTGCAGTTGTATTACTACCAAGCGCAGTGGCACAAATGCTGAAACATTCCCGCATCGCCACGGTGCGTTCATAAGACGCCGTGGCGGCAGTTTATGCTGATTTGCCGGCGTGGTGTGTCTTCTAAAAAGGGCTTATGACAAAGCACCACTGTAAGGTGCAAATACACAACACTGAGGCCTTAAAACTCACCGTCTACTGTCCTGAGGGTGAAATGTTGTAACTGTTATATAGTAAACCTGGAGATGATGTCGGCCAGACGTCGCAGTTCTAGTAACGGCGCACGTCCTTCTGTACCTGCAGCGCTTTTTTCTTCAGGCGCAGCGCCATCTGTCTGGTAGTCTTCTGATGTGACATACACCTCAGAGACCTGATGCTCATTTAGTTTCTCCATGGTTGTTGTTGAAGGACTTCCCAGGGCAGGAAGCCGTTGTTGTCTTCGTTCCACATTGAATGGAATTCTCACAACCTTCGCCACACAAGCATGAACCGTTTTCTTACCATAGAAACATAACCTCCCCAAACTCAGCAGCAAGAACTCTAGAAGACTTTTTGGGGGGGGGGGGGGGGTCATTGCACCTTACAGCAGTGCTTTGTCACAAAGTAGTCCCAAGTCTGAATGACCCTAAAGCCGGGCGTACACTGTGTGACTTTTTCACTCGTAGCACTCAGCTTCAGCTCAAACTGTACGACTTCCTCGCAGAGCAGATCTCACGAGTCGTGTGCTCACACTGCACGACCCAGTTCTCGCATGCGACCTGACTGCTCACACTGTACGTCTGGTAGCAACACGTCGGCCCTAAAAATGTGCTAAAAATAGCAGTTTTTACTCAACACGTCAGACTTTTTTGTCTTGTTTTGCCTGTTGTCCTTCGGGAGTGCTGCAGGAGGACACACAGGGATTTATGGGGGTTGGATGAGGAAAACGAAATAAAGAAAGTAAATTTGTGTTTTGTGATCAGTTTAATTTGACATGAACATGACAAACACGCTTTCTTGGCAATCTTTGTGAGTAAAAAAAACGTGTAGAAACAAAAACGAACAACGTGTGTTATTAGGGAAATAGCGAGCGAACTGTGTTGATGCAGGATTGCGAATGCGCCGTGAGCGGTTCTTTTACTTTTTAGGTCGCAGCTGCTCGCAGCGCCGCTTCAACAGTGCGATACCCTCACGAGGGACGAGCGAAATATTAAACACTCCAGAAGTCCGTGCGAGCTCACGACTGCTGATCGGCAGCTGGTCACGTGGTGTTAATCGCCCTTCGTAACCCCCTGTACACTACACAACCGCTCGGCGCAAAACTCGCCCCGATCTCGTGGATTCTCGCACGACTGGAAAATCGGCTCAAAAAAGTGAAAAAGTCGCACAGTGTACGCCCAGCTTAACTCAACCCTCTAAATGCTAGCTGTTACCATTCACTTACATTGTTTATCCTAAGCTAACGCTAACAGAATACTAGCAGATTAGGAGAATGACTGGGCGGATTACAAAATGCTTTTTCCCACGTATCTAACTCTGGAGAATGTGGAAACAACGTAAATTTCACTCAGGGGTGAAATAAGCCTTGTAATGGTACTCAAGAAGCAGCTGGATCAAGAAACCTCCAGATGTGAGAGAAAGAAGAGCACTTCTTTGTTGTTATTATGACTATTAATATGTGCTTGTTCTGTAAGTAAACTTTGATCTGTAACGTCGGGTCCTCTCGTGGCTCCTCTGGTGCAGACACAGCCGGCAGAACAGCAGCAGCAGTGGAGATTCTGGAGTTTATTCTGCAGGAGGAACCTCCAGCACACTGCAGCCCAACATCTGCCCATCCTGTACAGATGTGGAGCCCCAATGTAAGGCTTCTTCTCACTCTGAGCATGTGAAGATGCTGAAGATGGACTTTATATTTTCTCCTGGGATCTCAGCAGAGGGTGATTCAGGCGTGTGTGTGTGTGAATCATGAATGAGCAAGATGTTCTTCTGCTGAAGAAGAGGATGGTTCTGTTGGTAGAACTGAAGAGGACACTTCTGCCACTGATGTTTTCATCTTTGCTTGGACCGAATCCTGACGCTGATTCTAACACCTCGTCTCTTAAAGCCACCATCTTAATTTTGTGAGTTGTTGGTGAGGGATATGTCCACCTGTTGATGGTTCCTGTTTGGGTTCTGCAGCACTGATCAAACACATCAACCCAATCAAAGCTTTTTTTCAGCCACTTTTATTTCATCTGCTTTAATCCGTCCTACTAAACTCACCCTTCTGCACGGCTGATCCAGTGAAGCATAACCTCTGTGTAAATAACGAAATCATTTATCTCCATTTAAACCATGTTACAGGCTGGGTTTCTTTGGTTGGATCAATGTTCACATAAACCAATAAACTATGAAGTTTCAGTTCAGACTGTTTTGTTCCTTTAAACCAGACGCGGGAACCTTTAGAAAGCCTTCAACTCCTAGTTTTAAGCACCAGACAGCAGATGCGGTACCAGAGAAGGTGGGTTCTTACAGGAGAACTTCAGAGGAACCATACTAAAGCTGAAAACGGGCGACTTCACCAGGCCGTCCTGCTAGGATCCATATGTATTCCAGAAGGGGGCGCTAATGCACCTGCAGTTGTTTGGCTACCAGTTTAACCTGCCTGTAGTCCCTCACTCAGGAGGACTTTATCTAATGTGTTTATGTAGTTTATACAGTTTAATGTTGGTATGGTAAATAATGTACGATTAATTTTAGACATTTGTAATGTAGTGGAATTAATACATATTATTTATGACCAATAAGATGTTATGATTCCATATAAACATGAAAGATCAACCTGATTGATCTTTTAATGTTTAATCAGAAGATTATAGTTACTTTAACTTGTTCAGGGACCATAAACACACTTCGTATTAATTCAGACAGTCAGTATGTAGTTTATAAAATGAATTTAATTATTTTTCCTAAACTAATAATTAATACATGACGAGATATGAATAATGAGATGTGGTGTGGTGGATGTGAGGGGTTGTGATGGAAGCTGGATCTTGTAGCAACCGTTCTTTGTATCTGAGAGAAATTGGGAAGTCTGGGTGTAAAAGAATTTGTTGTTTTAATAAACTAGAGAGTTGTTTATTTAACACAGTCTGTCGTGCCAAGTCTACCCTTGGTGTGGAGGTTCTCGTTGGATCCGGGGGTTCAATGGTCACTGCCGGTGGAGTGAACTCTGACATCAGGAACCCGTAGATAGTTCCGATAAGACTCGTCGTCTTAGATCCCTCCAGGTGAAGGCAGGAAGCTGGAACGCTTGTTTGTGTCTAAGGTTGATGTTTGCTAGGCTCTGAAAAGAGCCGGTAGTCTGGTTTCAGCCGCAGCGTTGCAGAGAGGCTTTGTCAGGAGGTCAAATAAGTTTGTTTCAAAAGAGGCTTCTTTCCTTATTTGGCCGAATCGAGGGTCAGCTGAAAACTTAATCGGGAAGTAATTCTTGTTTAATTAAACTACTTTGTAATGATTTCTGGCCAAGTTTGGCGAATCAGAATTTGACACGTTTTCTGAACATCCCTCAGAAAGCCACGCCTTCCTTCAGATACAAGATTTCTTAACACTGTGAATAAGAATCTTTAACCTTATGTGAGTATCTTATGTAAAGAAATTTGGCTGGCTCAGCCATATTTGTAAAGAAAATATTGACTGGCTCAGTTATATTGTAAGGAGAAACTGTCTTTACTCAGTTATATTGTTAAGAAGACTCAAAGGTTGTTTTCATCGATAAACTGACGATAATATCTGTGTGTCTGTGTTTCAGTTCAATGAGGAAACCAGTTTGACAATTAAAAGTTTTAATTCTTCAAATTAAACTAATGATTTTGAAATTGACAAACAGGAAATAACAATCAACATTGGCAACTTTGTGGGACAATCTTTAACAGTTGATATGCTGTTCTTGCTCAAATACACCTTCTGTTGGTGAATGAAGATTGAGAGTAATAGGATGTGGTTATGGATGCGTGGGTGTGCAAAGTGTCGTGAGAATTGAACATGAGGTGAGATGAATGCGTGTGTGCATCTGATTTTGCTTCAGGAAGAAACAGGTGTCTGAGTGAAAAGTGATGGTTTGAATAAACTTAGGTTTAGTTGGAAAAGATGCATCAAAATGCTATCTGTCGTGTTTTGCCTCACCGAAAATCGGACCCTCTGTTGGACCCGGGACGTCACCTTAGGATGATGTTTCATCCAGGGCACCTTGGCTGGCAAAGAAGACAAAGATGCGCCGCGAACCGGTCCAGAGTTGCCCTCGGTACACGTTGATGGTAAAGCGTTTTGTCGATGCGCTTTATTAAGTTAAGTTCACTCAGAAATCAAAAGACTCGGTAATGAGTCTGCGTTAGAAGTTGCGATTCAGCTATTCTGCCTGGCTTGGCAGGAACAGCGTGTGAGAGAAGGGGGGGAAGAAACGAGCCAACCGGCTCCCCCCCTTTCAGCGGTTGTTCACACGTCCTCTCTCTTTCGTTGTCAAGCACGAACTGAAATCATAAGACTGAAACTTACCAAAAGCCTTTCTCTTCTCAAAGCAAACGTGTGCGTCAGCAAATGTGTTTTGGAATTTAACTGTGAGAATCTGTGTGTGGGTGTGTGTGCTTGAGTGTGTGTGAAGGTCAGCAATAAACACTCTCAACATTATCTAATTATGGATTCATTAAATCTCTTATAATTACCCCAAAGCATAATAGTCATTCATTTGATTAAAACATTTATAATGAGCAAATTGATGATTAAACTTGTAGCGTTATGGATTTATGCTCTTTTATGAAAGAGAAACCATGCTACGTATTAATTCGGAATATTAATTTTAATAAATCAATAACCAAATTTTATATTGTTCAGAAGACTCAAAGGTTGTTTTCATCCATAAACTGCCGATAATATCTGAGTGTCTGTGTTTCAGTTCAATGAGGAAACAAGTTTGAAGGATTAAAAGTTTTAATTCTTCAAATTAAACTAATGATTTTGAAAATTGACAAACAGGAAATAACAATCACATTGGCAACTTTGTGGGACAATCTTTTAACAGTTTATCTGCGGTGCTTGCTCAAATAGACCTTCTGGTGAATTTATGAAGATTGAGAATGTTGTGACATGAATGCGTGTGTGAGTCTGATTTTGCTTCAAGAAGAAACAGGTGTCTGAGTGAAGTGATGGTTTGGATAAACTTAGGTCTTATCAGAGAACTGCATCAAACGCTAAAACCGTGCTCTGTCTCACCGAACTCTTGTGGACCCTCTTTCGGATCCGGGCCGTGGAGGATGTTGTGGTTCATCCAGATGACACCGGCGGCTGACAGGAGACATAGGTGTCGAACGGAACCGGTCCAGAGTTGCCCTCGGTACACGTTGATGGTAAAGAGTTTTGTCGACGCGCTTTCTTAAGTTAATTCACTCAGAAATCAAAAGACTCAGTAATGAGTCTGCGTTAGAAGTTGCGATTCAGCTATTCTGCCTGGCGTGGCAGAAACAGCGTGAGAGGAGGGGGGGGGGGGGATTGAGCCCATGGGCTCCGTTCCCCGTTAGCGGTTGTTCACAAGTCCTCTCTCTCTCGTGGCCCAACACGAACTGAATCAAAAGACTGAAAACTTACCAAAAACCTTTCTCTTCTCAAAGCAAACGTGCGTCATCAAATGTGTCTGGAGTTTACTGTGAGCAGGTGTGTGTGGATGTGTGTGAATGTTTGTGCTTGAGTGTGTGTGAAGGTCAGTAACAAACATTCTCAACATTATTTAAGAATGGATTCATTAAACCATTATAATTACCCCAAAGCTAAATAGTCATTCATTTGATTAATCACATTTATAATGAGCACAATGATAATGGTTACTTTAACATTAAAATCAAGAAAAAGAAGTTTAAACTTTATGTTTTGACTTGGTCTGGGTACAACTCATGTAAACACATCTTCTGGTAGACTGCAGGTGGCAGATGTTATGGTTTCCTCCCAGACTCGCTGGCGTTCAGGTCTTAATCTGTGGGTGAAAGTTCTCAGCGACCCAGCTTTGACACAGCTGAGTCCAACACCACCATTGTGACAGAAAACCCATATTTCCTCACGTTACATTCCCCCCTTTTGTGACGACATGGAGGTCAAGCAGAGGCCACCTGACGTCACAACCACAATAACGTGATGTACTCGTAAAGGTAGACATCCCAGATGAAGGCAGGAACGATGAAGCGTCGCCACAGGTCTCGTGTAGAAGGGAGTCTATCCTGATCAGATGATTAAGGCCAAAACTGTTGCAATCATTGTAAAGTAATCCACTTAGGAATCTTGAAAGCAGAGCTATTTCAATAGCAGTTAATTTTCATCAGCAATAATGCAAAGGTATGCAAAGGATAAGCAGCTCGTGTGCCACACGGAGCTGGGCAGGTGATGTATTCCCCAGGCGTAGTCCAGGCGAAGTCCAGCGCAGACCTCGACCCATCTCGAACCACGACCGAAGCCCCATGCGACAGGAAACCAGTTGAAGGATGGTGAAGACGACCCCTCTGATGGGATGTAGTCCATACGAGCTCGGAGAAGGAGACAAAGTGAGACAGCCCACACGATAGATAGCATTTGATGCAAAACAAAGAAATCAATCAAAACCTATCTATGGGTGCCTCTGGGAAAATGTGGGTGCCTTTTGTGAATTATCTAAAGAAGAAATGTACTGCACCCTGTTCTACGTGTCATGTAAAAACGTGATGCAGGGAAAACACAAATAAAAGAAAGTAAATCCTAACTGATATGTGAAACTCAGCAGGCTGCATTAATTAAAGGCATATATATAAAGGAAATAATCATGAAAATGAAGGGCAAATTGGCTTGTGGCCCTTTAAGGGAAATAGTAACAAAATAAAATTAACTTTGTAATCAAATATAATCATGCTACACAAAGCACTAATAAAAAGATAGAGATGTAAATCAGTTCTAAAAATGTAAATCAGTAGGTTAGTAATCCCTAAAGATGTGAGTTAGTAACAGGACCCTGGCTGGAGGCAGGTAACCTGAAAAAAAAAACCCAAAGGATATCACATTTGTTAAAAATTCATCCCACAAACGAGAGAATTTGTAACGGTCCACCAGTCAGTGGAAAAGAATCCGGTCAGAATAGTCGGTCAGAATAGAGTTTTGAATCTGGTATTGCGGACCCACAGAGACACGAGTTTGGACGTGTCAGTGGGAGCAGGCTCATAAGCGATTTGGTTATCAAACTGTTTGTATCTTGTGTTACGAACCCACAGGGAAACTTGTTTGAATTTACCTGAGGGTCCCGTTTGGAACTGGAGCGAAGCTGATGGTTTAGCTGTTAGATCAGAACCTGATTTTACCTGCTCAAAGTTGTGTTGCAGCTTAACGGAGGCGACTTTGTTGTGATCAGAAATAGTAGTGAACTGGAAATGCGAAAATGATGCTCGCAAAGCGGGAGGAGGCTCCCCACCCCCCTTTTGTTTCTCAAACGTATGCCGTGTCTGCGAGACAGGAGAAGCATAACAAAGAACAGTTCTTAAGCTCTTAAAAGCCCTATTACCAAAAAGATGCACATCGTCACCTGAATCGTGCTGAAAGAGTAGGTGTTCAGATGTCCAAAGACCTGTAGGTGTTGGACTTGGAGGTTCCGAAAAGGAGTGATCCAAGGATGGTTGTGTCACGGGTGTCAAAGCAAACCTAGCTATGTTTAGAATCAGATACAGACATGATGCTAGCTTTAGGAACATGGTCTGTCCTGAAAACTGAAGCCAAGAATACTTTATTCCCAAGAATGATGGAGGTTCCCACACAGAATCAGAAAAACCCGGTTTAACCAGAGTATTTACAGACTGACTAGAACTCCGCCCCGTAGAAGGTGCAGCACCTAACTCCGGGTCGGAGGTCAATGTTGTCAGCTGTATTGGTGGAAGGTCAGTGTCGATTCCTGCAATGACCCGCCCGCTCGGAGGAGGCGTTCCCCCGAACCGGTTGAAGTCCGCAACGGAAAACTCAGAGCCACTCAGCACCCCCCCTTTGTCAGGAGGGGCCCCGAGCATAGCATCACTGCACGCACCTACACCTCCCGGGCCGGGTTGCCTTCCCGAGCCCGTGAGAGAGGTGTGCACAGCAACCACCGAGCCACCTTTAACATCGCCACTGACCACAGGACTGCTGGAAACCGCAGGGTTTTCTGTGTCGTCGCGGTCACCTGTAAGAGAAATCACAGGAAAGAGAGCACAGAGGCCCGAGACTAAGTCACACCCCTGTGAAAGGAGAAAAGAATTGGCCACCGTATTAGCAGAGGTCACAAACTGAAAAGTGACAAGGTCATTCACATAAAGGTCAAGATGTCCGGGCACAAACCCCTTAAATGGCATGGTAGCTCCGTCCGGAGACCACAAGTGTTTCACGGCGGCTGACGTTTCCATCACGCCCCGATAAAGAAGCTGGTTTGTGCATGAGGCGGACTGACGAGTAAAACAGACCTCTGACTGAAGCGGTGGGTCACAGCCTGAAGATTTCACACCCATGCTGGAGAGATGTTCAGCCTTTAACATGGATGACAGAGGAGAAGCATTAGGAAACAAAGGGTTAAGCACAACCTGTTTGTCAGAGAGGTTAACCATAGGCTCAAGAGATTTATTCATCTTAAAAGCAGCAGAGAAAGTGTTGTTTATTTCAAACCTTGATGTTGATGGTGGGTTTTTGACCCCCTGGAAGAAATAAAAGTAAAGAAAAAGCGTTATGACTGTAAACAGCATGTTGCATGAATTCACGTCATGAATTGCAGACCAGAACCACCTCCGACCCAGTGCAGCTGGCACCGAACCGCAGCCACTAGTCCCCACTGCTCCCGACCGGCGGCACCCGCCTAAAACGGGCCCGTTCGGGCGGGCGGAGGGACCAGCGATGCTCGGCCGGTGAGCAGTCTCCTGCGTCTTGGCATGTTCTGGAAGCAGAACGTCAGAGAACCTTACACCAGGTGTAACAGTGCAAGAAAGATTTTGTCGTGTCTCGTCCATCTCCCATTAAGTTCAGAGCAACTCGCGTTTTTACCTTCTGAGCCGACGTAAAACTCCGGGCAGATTCCTTAATATGTCTCACACAAACAAGGACTGTCCGTAGCCTACTTAACTTTATGACACAGGGTAAAACAAGGAATTGTTGATAGAGAAATGAATACACACAACTTCACAAGATGGAAGAAAAAGGCATGGATCCGAGCGATGGAGGCTGTGAAAGCCGACCCGTCCACCGGTCCAAAATAAAAATAAAAAATAATAAACCATACGCTGCCGTGTTGGTATCAGACGGACAAACGTAGCAAACTGTAGATTCTACACACCGTAGCGATTTACAAGAATCACCGCCAATGCGGGTTTTGTGAGGACACAGACTGACTGTGTCAGAAATGGTATGACAATCTAACGGGACGCGTTCCCTTTTTGTCTAACTGTGGTGCTAGCTTAGCTCTCCGGCCAGGTCTAGCGTTCTTTGTCTGTAGCGACCAGACTTAAATTTTCCCGATTAACAAGTAGGCGTCTCGCCCCGCTTGTAATACGGACTTCAAAAAACGTACGCAATCTGAATGCAGTAACGCGTGACGGCCATAACCCGGCTTACGACGTTTACCGTGCAATCAAGCAACAGTAGGTGCCTACGGGCATTCCGTTCAGATTGTTTCTATAAGTCGCCCATGCAATGGAGATATTTTCCACAATAGCTCGCCCACAGTGTCAACACACTGAGACGAAAGGTGTCCGAGAATTTAGTCTCGGTTCTGAGGTTCGGAGAATTTAGTGAGCGGAACAATTTCCGGTTAAGTTCAAAATAAGACATCAAAGTGAAACACAGAGAAAAGCGTTGTTTGTAGCTTTTAGATGTAAGAAATCAGACATATCGCAGATATAGAAGACTGGATACGCTCGCCATTAAATGTAGCGTTATGGATTTATGCTCTTTTATGAAAGAGAAACCATGCTACGTATTAATTCGGAATATTAATTTTAATAAATCAATAACCAAATTTTATATTGTTCAGAAGACTCAAAGGTTGTTTTCATCCATAAACTGCCGATAATATCTGAGTGTCTGTGTTTCAGTTCAATGAGGAAACAAGTTTGAAGGATTAAAAGTTTTAATTCTTCAAATTAAACTAATGATTTTGAAAATTGACAAACAGGAAATAACAATCACATTGGCAACTTTGTGGGACAATCTTTTAACAGTTTATCTGCGGTGCTTGCTCAAATAGACCTTCTGGTGAATTTATGAAGATTGAGAATGTTGTGACATGAATGCGTGTGTGAGTCTGATTTTGCTTCAAGAAGAAACAGGTGTCTGAGTGAAGTGATGGTTTGGATAAACTTAGGTCTTATCAGAGAACTGCATCAAACGCTAAAACCGTGCTCTGTCTCACCGAACTCTTGTGGACCCTCTTTCGGATCCGGGCCGTGGAGGATGTTGTGGTTCATCCAGATGACACCGGCGGCTGACAGGAGACATAGGTGTCGAACGGAACCGGTCCAGAGTTGCCCTCGGTACACGTTGATGGTAAAGCGTTTTGTCGACGCGCTTTCTTAAGTTAATTCACTCAGAAATCAAAAGACTCAGTAATGAGTCTGCGTTAGAAGTTGCGATTCAGCTATTCTGCCTGGCGTGGCAGAAACAGCGTGAGAGGAGGGGGGGGGGGGATTGAGCCCATGGGCTCCGTTCCCCGTTAGCGGTTGTTCACAAGTCCTCTCTCTCTCGTGGCCCAACACGAACTGAATCAAAAGACTGAAAACTTACCAAAAACCTTTCTCTTCTCAAAGCAAACGTGCATCATCAAATGTGTCTGGAGTTTACTGTGAGCAGGTGTGTGTGGATGTGTGTGAATGTTTGTGCTTGAGTGTGTGTGAAGGTCAGTAACAAACATTCTCAACATTATTTAAGAATGGATTCATTAAACCATTATAATTACCCCAAAGCTAAATAGTCATTCATTTGATTAATCACATTTATAATGAGCAAAATGATAATGGTTACTTTAACATTAAAATCAAGAAAAAGAAGTTTAAACTTTATGTTTTGACTTGGTCTGGGTACAACTCATGTAAACACATCTTCTGGTAGACTGCAGGTGGCAGATGTTATGGTTTCCTCCCAGACTCGCTGGCGTTCAGGTCTTAATCTGTGGGTGAAAGTTCTCAGCGACCCAGCTTTGACACAGCTGAGTCCAACACCACCATTGTGACAGAAAACCCATATTTCCTCACGTTACAAACTTTTAACATTCAAAACAAGAAAAGGAAGTTTAAACTTTATGTTTTGACTTGTTATGACTACTTGTCCATGAGAACTCCTTCTTCTGGTACCGCAGGTGGCAGATGTTATGGTTTCCTCCCTGACTCGCTGGCGTTCAGGTCTTAATCTGTGGGTGAAAGTTCTCAGTGACCCAGCTTTGACCCAGCTGAGTCCAACACCACCATTGTGACAGAAAACCCATATTTCCTCACGTTACAGATCCCCCCTTTTGTGATGACATGGTGGTCAAGCAGAGGCCACCTGACGTCACAACCTCAATAACGTGATGTACTCGTGAAGGTAGACATCCCAGATGAAGGCAGGAACGATGAAGCGTCTCCACAGGTCTCGTGTAGAAGGGAGTCTATCCTGATCAGATGATTAAGGCCAAAACTGTTGTTAGTACATTGTAAAGTAATCCACTTAGGAAATCTTGAAAGCAGAGCTATGCCAATAGCAGTTAATTTCATCAGCAATAATGCAAAGGTATTCAAAGGATAAGCAGCTCGTGTGTCACACGGAGCTGGGCAGGTGATGTATTCCTCAGGCGTAGTCCAGGCGAAGTCCAGTGATGACCTCGACACCTCTCGAACCACGACCGAAGCCCCATGCGACAGGAAACCAGCTGAAGGATGGTGAAGACGACCCCTCTGATGGGATGTAGTCCATACGAGCTCGGAGAAGGAGACAAAGTGAGACAGCCCACACGATAGATAGCATTTGATGCAAATCAAAGAAATCAATCAAAACCTATCTATGGGTGCCTCTGGGAAAATGTGGATGCCTTTTGTGAATTATCTAAAGAAGAAATGTTCTGCACCCTGTTCTACATGTCATGCAAAAAACGTGATGCAGAGAAAACACAAATAAAAGAAAGTAAATCCTAACTGATATGTGAAACTCAGCAGGCTGCATTAATTAAAGGCATATATATAAAAGAAATAATCATGAAAATGAAGGGCAAATTGGCATGTGGCCCTTTAAGGGAAATAGTAACAAAATAAAATTAAATTTGTAATCAAATACAATCATGCTACACAAAGCACTAATAAAAAGATAGAGATGTAAACCAATTCTAAAATGTAAATCAGTAGGTTAGTAATCCCTAAAAATGTGAGTTAGTAACATGACCCTGGCTGGAGGCAGGTAACCTGAAAAAAAAATTCAAAGGATTTCACATTTGTTAAAAATTCACCCCACAAACGAGAGAATTTGTAACGGTCCACCAGTTAGTGGAAAAGAATCCGGTCAGAATAGAGTCGGTCAGAATAGAGTTTTGAATCTGGTATTGCGGACCCACAGAGACACGAGTTTGGACGTATCTGTGGGAGCAGGCTCATAAGCGATTTGGTTATCAAACTGTTTGTATCTTGTTACGAACCCACAGGGAAACTTGTTTGAATTTACCTGAGGGTTCCGTCCGGAACTCGAGTGAAGCTGATGGTATAATTGTTAGATCAGAACCTGATTTTACCTGCTCAAAGTTGGGTTGCAGCTTTACAGAGGCGACTTTGTTGTGATCAGAAATAGTAGCGAACTGGAAATGCGAAAATGATGCTCGCAAAGCAGGAGGAGGCTCCCCATCCCCCTTTTGTTTCTCAAACTTATGCCGTGTCTGTGAGACAGGAGAAACATAACAAAGAACAGTTCTTAAGCTCTTAAAAGCCCTATTACCAAGAAGATGCACATTGTCACCGGGATCGTGCTGAAAGAGTAGGTGTTCAGATGTCCAAAGACCTGGAGGTGTTGGACTTTGAGGTTCTGAATAGGAGTGATCCAAGGATGGTTGTGTCACGGGTGTCAAAGCAAACCTAGCCATGTTTAGAATCAGATACAGACATGACACTATCGAAAGGAACATGTTCTGCCCTGAAAACTGAAGCCAAGAATACTTTATTCCCAAGAATGATGGAAGTTCCCACACAGAATCAGAAAAACCCGGTTTAACCAGAGTATTTACAGACTGACTAGAACTCCGCCCCGTAGAAGGTGCAGCACCTAACTCCGGGTCGGAGGTCAATGTTGTCAGCTGTATTGGTGGAAGGTCAGTGTCGATTCCTGCAATGACCCGCCCGCTCGGAGGAGGCCTGCCCCCGAACAGGTTGAAGTCCGCAACGGTATACTCAGTGCCACTCAGCACCCCCCCCCCCCTTTGTCAGGCGGGGCCCCGAGCAGGGCATCACTGCACCCACCTACACCTCCCGGGCCGGGTGGCCTTCCCGAGCCCGTGAGAGAGGTGTGCGCAGCAACCACTGAGGCTTCCTCAACATCGGCACTGACCACTGGACTGCTGGAAACCGCAGGTTTTTCTGCGCCGTCGTGGTCACCTGAAAGAGAAATCACAGGAAATAGAACACAGAGGCCAGAGACAGAGTCACACCCCTGTGAAAGGAGAAAAGAATTGGCCACCGTATTAGCAGAGGTCACAAACTGAAAAGTGAAAAGGTCATTCACATAAAGGTCAAGATGTCCGGGCACAAACCCTGCAAATGGTAAGGTTGCTCCGTCCGGAGACCACAAGTGTTTCACGGCGGCTGACATTTCCATCACGCCCCGATAAACAAGCCGGTTTGTGCATGAGGTGGACTGACGAGTAAAGAAGACCTCTGACTGAAGCGGTGGATCACAGCCGGAAGATTTCACACCCATGCTGGAGAGATGGTCAGCCTTTAACATGGATGACAGAGAAGAAGCATCAGGAACCCAAGGGTTAAGCACAACCTGTTTGTCAGAGAGGTTAACCATAGGCTCAAGAGATTTATTCAGCTTAAAAGTAGCAGAGAAAGTGTTGTTTATTTCAAACCTTGACATTGATGGTGGGTTTTTGACCCCCTGGAAGAAATAAAGGCAAAGAAAAAGCGTTATGACTGTAAACAGCATGTTGTTTGAATTCACGTCATGAAGTGCAGACCAGAACCACCTCCGACCCCGAGCAGCTGGCACCGAACCGCTGCCACTAGTCCCCACCGTGCCCGACCGGCGGCACCCGATTAATGCGGGCCCGTTCGGGCGGGCGGCGGGACCAGCGTGGCTCGGCCGGTAAACAGTCTCCTGCGTCTTGGCATGTTCTGGAAACAGAACGTCAGAGAACCTTACATCAGGTGTAACAGTACAAGAAAGATTTTGTCGTGTCTCGTCCATCCCTCATTAAGTTCAGAGCAACTCGCGTTTTCACCTTCTGAGTCGACGTAAAACTCCGGGCAAATTCCTTAATTCATCTCACAAACAAGGACTGTCCGTAGCGTAACTTAACTTTATGACACAGGGTAAAACAAGGAGCTGTTGATAGAGAAATGAATGCACACAACTTCACAAGATGGAAGAAAAAGTCATGGATCAGAGCGATGGAGGCTGTGAAAGCCGACCCGTACAGCGGTCCAAAATAAAAATAAAAAAAATAATAAACCCTACGCTGCCGTGTTGGTATCAGACGGACAAACGTAGCAAAATGTAGATTCTACACACCGTAGTGATTTACAAGAATCACCGCCAATGCGGGTTTTGTGAGGACACAGACTTACTGTGTCAGAAATGGTTCGGCAATTTAATGGGACGCGTTCCCTTTTTGTCCAACTGTGGCTCGCTAGCTTAGCTCTCCGGCTAGGTCTAACTTTTCGTCTGTAGCGACCAGACTTAAATTTTCCCGATTAACAAGCAGGCATCTCGCTCCGCTCTGCTAAAACGGACTTTAAAGCGTACGCACTCTGGATGCAGTAACGCGCAACGGCCATAACCCGACTTACGGCGTTTACCTAGCAAGTTAAGCTACGGTAGGTGCCTACGAGCATTCTGGTTAGATTAGGCTTTGATCAGTCGCCTATGAAAAGGAAATATCTTTCACAATAGCTCGTCCACAGTGTCAACACACTGAGACGAAGGTGTCCGAGAATTTGGAGAATTTAGTCTCAATTTTAGGATTGAAGTTAAGGTGCTCACGGTAGCTCACCCAGCAAGTTTCAGAGCGGAAATGTAGCTTTCCGACCTGAAGAGATTAGAGGCGCGGCGGCGCGTCAAAATGGACAGAATTTAGTCAAAATCACAACTCACACGTTCGCTCCGAAGGCGAGGATGGGATAAATCAAAGTACTGTCTGTAATTTGCGGACAAATTGAGATCGGAGATCTTCCACCGTCAAGCTTCCACCAGGACGTCTCCCGGAAGAGTGACTTCAGCGGAATAATTTCCGGTTTGTTTCAAAATAAAACATCAAAGTGAAACACAGAGAAAAGGCTAAAATTGTGAAAAATCAGCTTGTAGATGTTTGAAATCAGATATATTGCAGATATAGAAGTCAGGATACGCTCGCCATATTGTAAAGAAATTTGGCTGGCTCAGCCATATTTGTAAAGAAAATATTGACTGGCTCAGTTATATTGTAAGGAGAAACTGTCTTTACTCAGTTATATTGTTAAGAAGACTCAAAGGTTGTTTTCATCGATAAACTGACGATAATATCTGTGTGTCTGTGTTTCAGTTCAATGAGGAAACCAGTTTGACAATTAAAAGTTTTAATTCTTCAAATTAAACTAATGATTTTGAAATTGACAAACAGGAAATAACAATCAACATTGGCAACTTTGTGGGACAATCTTTAACAGTTGATATGCTGTTCTTGCTCAAATACACCTTCTGTTGGTGAATGAAGATTGAGAGTAATAGGATGTGGTTATGGATGCGTGGGTGTGCAAAGTGTCGTGAGAATTGAACATGAGGTGAGATGAATGCGTGTGTGCATCTGATTTTGCTTTAGGAAGAAACAGGTGTCTGAGTGAAAAGTGATGGTTTGAATAAACTTAGGTTTAGTTGGAAAAGATGCATCAAAATGCTATCTGTCGTGTTTTGCCTCACCGAAAATCGGACCCTCTGTTGGACCCGGGACGTCACCTTAGGATGTTTCATCCAGGGCACCTTGGCTGGCAAAGAAGACAAAGATGCGCCGCGAAACGGTCCAGAGTTGCCCTCGGTACACGTTGATGGTAAAGCGTTTTGTCGATGCGCTTTATTAAGTTAAGTTCACTCAGAAATCAAAAGACTCGGTAATGAGTCTGCGTTAGAAGTTGCGATTCAGCTATTCTGCCTGGCTTGGCAGGAACAGCGTGTGAGAGAAGGGGGGGAAGAAACGAGCCAACCGGCTCCCCCCCCCCTTTCAGCAGTTGTTCACACGTCCTCTCTCTTTCGTTGTCAAGCACGAACTGAAATCATAAGACTGAAACTTACCAAAAGCCTTTCTCTTCTCAAAGCAAACGTGTGCGTCAGCAAATGTGTTTTGGAGTTTAACTGTGAGAATCTGTGTGTGGGTGTGTGTGCTTGAGTGTGTGTGAAGGTCAGCAACAAACACTCTCAACATTATCTAATTATGGATTCATTAAATCTCTTATAATTACCCCAAAGCATAATAGTCATTCATTTGATTAA